CAAGATGGAATCTGAGCCCAAGTAAACGAAAATCGAAGAGAGTCTTGTGAGAATGAAGACCGAAGAGCCATTGATAATGAAAACTGAAGAGCCTTTGAAAATGGGAAAAATTATTCAGTCTGGAAACCGTATGCAGACTTGTGTGTGGTTTCTAATTAAAAGCTGACAGGTGGAAATGCGGGGCCCAACATCAAATTATGGAAAAAAATGTTTTTTTACGGCACGACCCGACCCGAGCCCCACCCAAGCATGAAAAAAACATCTTTTGTCATATTTAGATCCCGTCAATTCGCATAAAGTATTTCTTTTTGTCATTTTAGATCTCGCTAAATTAGAAAAAAGCCTATTTAGTCTCATTCCGATATTGGGTTTAGGAATTTTTTTTATTTGCTTTTGCGTTCGTATTCAACAACTAGGATAAGGTAGCCGATTGAATTCTCCCTCGACCAAGAAATATTGATGGAATCACAAAATAATTGCGAAAATGATACGAATGAGGTGAGCTTATTAGTTGCATCTGGAAGTATTCAGCAGGTGAGCTTATTACTATGTATTTACTGGTGTTATTCATGTCGTCATAATGATAGTATTGCAGTGTTAGTTTGGTGTGATTATTGTATTATTTGTTTGTAACGTTATTGTTATGTTGGAGGGTGGACGTGGTGTTATTTAGGTATTTTTATGGTTTTATAGTTGTATTATTGATTCTAATTACTCGGTTTAGTTGAGTTTTATATTGCCTTTTAATGGTATTATTCTTTTGGTATTATGGTTGTTTTTGTCCGTAGTTTTGGCTTAGAAGGGTAGTTGGGTGTTGTTTAGGTTTTAACATGATGTTTAACTACTGTTATTGGATCTAATTAATGATTTTATTGGAATGTTATTTTGTCATTGTAATTAGTGTTACTTGGGTTTTATTATGATGGTATTATGGTGGGTCGCATGCGTGAAATCTATCTTGACTTGAACTAGTTTCTTTCTCTTTTCTTGTAATACAATGTTTCGTGTTAGGGAGTAGTAATGTAGCATGCATGAACATACGTTTATTAATATAGGTAAAGCTTACTTTTTACTCTCATGATCTTCTCCGAATAGCCTTTTAACCTTGCATTAGATATTCATTTTGGTCGCATCTTCGTTGGATCATTCAAATTGTGTTGTATATTTGGTGTTCTTTTCTTATTTGAAATTGGTTTTCCCCCATGGTCTCTCTCATTCAATATGACATCAAATTCGATTGTTAATTTCTTTAATGCCTCCAACACGTGTTTCTTAACAAGTTCATTAACTTGCGTTGTTGTATTGATCTGATATGCAAATTTATGAATGTGAGATGAATATATGAGTTCAATTGAAGAACTTTGTGACCTTTTAGTATCCTTGAGATATTTATACCCATAGTTGTTATATATATCCTTTTTTGCATGAACAGCCCACCATAATAATATATATTTATCAGGGATAATTGTTATATTCTCAAGTTTAAGCACCCTTAAAGTGTGAGCACATAATAAACCCATCATTTCAAATTTTTTGCAACTGTATGTAATTTTAGAATTACTTTTGTCGACTTTAACAATCCAAGGTCTGTCTGTGTCCTTATTATCTAAGTTTCTAATGTAAAATTATGAATCTCCAGTGGCGGAGCACTCCGCAGAAAGTCCACAAAAAATATGTAGTAACTCTGCTTCAAAAATTGAATATAACTTCCTCGTATAAACTAAAGCATTCTGCCTCAACGCGGATCTATTTTTTACAACGGGAATAATTGCAGACTGTTCAAATTTAAAATCTTCATCATTTTCATTCATTCGCCAAAATTTTATGACATTTTCAAGACCCAAAAAACTTTCAGTGTTGGTGCTTGTTGGCTTGAAGATACCATAACAGATGTTATTCGTGGACTCACTTCTTTAAGTTGATAGAATCATCATCCCAAATATTTTTTTATCAAAGGTTGTTGACCATTTATGTATGATATTGTACAAACTATTCAACTAAGCATTCTCGTGAAGGTCGTTGACCATTTATGTCTGGATATTGTACAAACTATTCAACTAAGCATTCTCGTATAGATTTCCTTGCTCAATCATTGCACCCCAGGTTTTTTTAAACTCCTCTTCGGAGTGGCAACTACCCATGCATTTATAAAAAAACTCATTAACTCTCTTGCTGCCCACACCACAATGGACTTTTGAAGATAATTGCTTATAAATATGTTATTAACATAATCTATGTATGGCGTGCGGCAGATGCGGCAGACACTCTTCAATGACTTTGATCATTATTTAATTCTAGTCAGTGAATATTGTTCTCGGGTGCTTGTTATACATTATTCATATAGATGATCTGAATAGTCAGTTGAATGAGTCAACTGTTTCATCTAACAGAAAGTCAACTCCAAATAGAACAGTGCGGCAGACACTCTTCAATGACTCTGACCATTATTTGATTCTAATCAAAGAATATTGTTCTCGGGTGCTTGTTATACATTATCCATATAGATGATTTGAATAGTCAGTTGAATGAGTCAACAGTTTCATCTAACAGAAAGTCAACTCCAAATAGAACATTCTGTCAGTGGTGGTTCACACCGATGATAGGAGCACAGCATAAATTATATTTATTTAATCTATAACTTATATCAAATATTATGACATCCCAAAAGCAATCGTAATCAAATCTGAATATCTCATCACTCTAAAAGAAATTCAACAAACTATCAAACTCATCAATTTGGACGTCTCATGCAAATATGGTATCCTCAGGTTGCCTCAATGAACAATTGTAGTAGAAAATTAGCGTCCCCATTTTCAAATTGAACTATTCTCTCTTTGTATGAAATTATAAGCATTCTCCACCGACTTCTGTAACCAGAAAACTAAATGCATCGTTTGTTCTAATCTTGGATTGTGTCATCGATCTGAACACTTCTGTATTGATCCCACTGACTTCTGTAGCCAGAAAACTAAATGCATCGTTTGTTCTAATCTCGGATTGTGTCATCGATCTGAACACTTCTGTATTGATATCGCTCATCTTGTTGCTAGAACGCAATAGATGTTTATCACGTCCGCCGCCAAAACATAGTTATGACTTTCTATAAATTTCTTAACAGACCAGTTACCTTCACATCAACAATATATCGGATTATGGTTGAACAACAAGTCCTTGTGTCTCATCTTCTGAACTTCGCTGTCACATTATGTTATTCAATTCTTTCTTGAGATCAGTCTTACCACAAATGAAATTTTGTCTTAATACTCTTTGAATTCAGTCAAAAACTAACGTGGTCCTTTCCCACAATAAATCCAATTTTATGTGCATATGCATAATATTGTTTATATGTTTCCTTCTCATTATAGACCACTGCACGAAGCAACCTATCCGCAATTGGATCAATGCACACACTTACAGGCTCGGGGAACTGCAAATTTCAACATACCACCATTGGAACGGCCAAAAAAACGCTCCAACAAAACCAATCAATAGATCCAATAAGACTAGTATAAAACCATGAAAATGTTTGCATATCACCAATTTACTCCAACACAAATGTATAGTTCAAAACCAATAATATAAAAATAATATCATAATACCACCATGATAACGCCCAAATAACACTAATTACAATGGTAAAATAACACTCCAATAAAATCATTAATTAGATACAATAAAACTAGTATAAAATCATAAATACAATTATTTTGCAATTCCATCAACATTTCCCGGTCGAGAGAGAATTTCATCTCCCTTACCCTAGCTGTTGAGTACAAGCGCAAAAGCAAATGAAAAAATTCCTAAACCTTAAACTGGAATGAGACCAAATAGGCTTTTTTTCCAATTTGACGGGATCTAAAATGACAAAAATGATTACTCTATGCAAATTGGCGGAATCCAAATATGACAAAAAGACGTTTTTTTCATGCTTTGGCAGGGCTCAAGCCAGGCCGCGCAATAAAAATGTTTTCTTTTCGTTAATTTGATGTTGGGCCCCACAAACCATCAATTTTGTATGATTGTGGCCTCAACTAGAGAATTGCATGGATAAGACTGAAATTTTGTTATAATCCAATATAATTCAATAGATAACTTTGGGCATTATAAAACTTTTTCTTCACAAAAATTTTTCAAATGACTCGAAAATAAAGTGTTAGTAACTGGCCTTGACATACAATTAGATGCTATTTAAATGGAAAATATATTGATGCGGTGGATCATACAAATAGCAAAAAATGCTACCAAAACTCGACGGAGGTTTCAAATACCATACATTAAAGGGCCCTATCATTGAAACTAGATGAAAATAGACAAAATAAAAACCTTTGTTACAATTTGGTACTCCTAATGATCCTTCGAGATAAACCATTCAACCAATAGCTGCAATGCTAAAAAGCTTGAAAGAGTATGGAGAAATTTATTCCTGAATATGCTTAATCTGACTAAAAATAAATCCTACAAATACAAAATTATCAATGTTTATTAATAAAAAGAAAAAAAAACATAATGATGCCACACATACTCAATCCCCATGTCACCAATGATATGAAAATTTAATAAAAGAATAATTAGCTCCTTAATTCTTACATTAGAATGAAACTTTTGCCTCTCTCTTTTCATTTGTATCTAGGGGTGGAGCTTAATATGAGAGATTTGAACAAAAGATAAATCCACACATCTAAAAAAAAGCTTAACAAACAGACTGCAAGATTATAATGAATTTTCAACAAGTTGTCACATCTTTTTTCTTTCAGAAACTTCAACGCTGCGTGCAGAAGACAATGAGGGATGCTTTATATGCTACCATCTCAATTGTGTCTTCTGTGGTACCATTGTCATGTTCAAATTTCTACTATATTAAGAGAATTTTCTAAATGATCACAACCAAAAGTTGTTGCATAAATAAAGAATCTTTGACAAAACAAAAAAAGAAATAGATCAAATTAATAAAATACATTATATAACAATGCATTCCAACAAATAATTATTAAGGTACTTACACTTCACGAATTGAATCAAAATATATTGATCTCTCGTTAAAGATAAGTGATAGGAAAGACATCAGGGCAAATACCTGCAAGGAAAGAAAATTCTTAGCCATTAAAAATAACAGAGAAAAAATAAATATCAAATTTTAATAAATAGAAGCAAGCATATAACTCGAGAGGTAAACTCCAATTGCATCCTTTTTCCAAAGTTTAGGTACTTTCATGATTAACATTCCTTTAGATTCTAAACATCCAAACTGCTAAGCTTAACAAGGTAAAAATTTCCTCAAAGGTTCAGGTCTCCAAAATCTTATTATCCTTGCCTCTTTAACTAAAATAATATATTAAAATCAATATTGTACATTGCGTCCTTAGAGGGTAATGAGCGTTCAATAAGAACTAAACAGATAAAAGATGCAGCAAATCACATAAAGTACGGCCATTTTGGAATGCGACAAACTCTGTCATAGGAATTCCGCTCCTATCAGTGAAAACAAGGCATGTGCATCAAATAGTATATGAATCTATGAGAAAAACTGTGAAATTATCGCACCAAATATTACATTAATAAGCAGAACAAGGCACTGCATGTACTGCACATAAGAAAAATAGCAATTCAACAAAAAGGTACATTTTTGTATCAAAGGTAGACTTTTTTAAACTTAAAAGTGGGAAGAGGAGAGAAAAACAGCGTTGTGCAGCAGAAAATCCCTTCTGCAACATTTTGTCGCTTACCGGGACCATGAAGATTATGCGAACTATATATCGCTGGAAAGTGGGCTCCGTATAGTTCAACAGGTGCCGATAAATATGAATCAAAGCCAATGCAATCGCACCAAGAGTGCATGGAAAAGCAACTATTACATAGTATATAAAAGCCATTGATTCAAACTTCCAGAGTATCAAATTCGCCAATCTCACTGCAAATAAAGAAAAACCAAGAAAAGAAATAAGATTATACAACAAAGAAAAGGAAAAACTAAAAGTGCCGCAAGACCAAGAAGCCTCAAACAAACCTTGAGCGAAGCCGCTAGCATGTTCCTGAAGCCTTCTCGCGATATACCTCAGCCCAATCGACTATCAAAAAAAAAAATTCAAATTTTGGAGAGCGTAGGAAGAAAAAACCTAGCCACAGACCACCGCAAACCCCTCCGATTCACCACGGTTTGGTCCCGAACACAAAAAACTGAGATCGCTCGGCCGCTAAGGAGAAAGATAAAACATTTATTGGGGTCATCCCGCCAATGATTGCGAGAAGAACACGCGACAAAAGGCGGTATGAGCCGACGAACAAAGAAGGCCGGAAATGGCGAAAGAGGGCTGACCCCTTCTCAGGCTTCTCTTTCCGTCTAAACAGAGAAATAAACCGGCAAAGTGATAGAGAGAGAGAGGGGCGGCGGTGGCTCCGACTAGTTTTCGTAGAGAGAGAAAGGAGAGTTGCACCCTCCCGGAACGGGTGGGTTGAGAGAATGGGAAAGGGAACTCGACGAAGCAACCAGAAGCCCGACGAAGCGTTGAGACGACCGCAAATGGGACCATGAAAAAGAACCCGCCCCGTAGCGTGGGTTTCCCGTTGGGTGTTTTTATTCGTTCAAACGCGAATAGAAATATGACGACCAGCCACAAGCCAGCAGACCAAAATTATGCGGACTAATTATTAAATTGAAATCAATTAAGTTCAATTATTGCTCCCCTGATCATTAAGGAAAGGGATAAGTACGTATTAAGGCTTTAATTTAATGATGATTTACTTGTACGAAGGATCGGATTAACAATCCAAATGTCATAAAGTATTTAATATTAGGGTTTGATTTTGTTTCCTTTTCTTCTCTTTTAGCCTTCTTTGCTCTAGCCATCAAGTTTTGATTCGCGAGGGCTTTGACCCTTTCGCATATCTTTTCCTCCTCTCTCTTTTTCACGCTCAAGATATATTCTTGGTCAGCCTACGGCGATGAATTGGAAAAATATTTTATTTTCTCGTCTCCTTGACGTCCTTTTTTAATGTCTTACATATTGTGTTAAAAAAAAAATTCATATTCACCGAGGAGAAGATTGATGTATGAGCAAAGTAATATAAATTGTCCCTAGTTAGGTGTATGCTTAAAAATGGATCTTTGCATGATAATCTTTAACAATATGCTCACTAGATTTGTAGTTAATAGTGTAATTGTCGCTTACATAAAGGTTTTCTCTATCTGATGCGTGTTGGAAAATTTGAGGCCTTAGAGTAATGGATTATCAGCTTAGCGTTGCACAATGATTCAACATACACTCATATGAAAGTGAAACAACCAGTGATGATGCTATAAGTTTTTACGTGGAAAACTCGTAAATGGAAAAAATCACGGGGTCTGGCCCAATTCTAAAAATTTACTATATGTTGATGATTACAACGGCCCCTTGTCCCACATACGGGAAAGGGTTACTCGGGAAAGGGTTACTATGTCCCACATACGGGAAAGGGTTACTAGATTTTCAGACTACAGTGTCGTTTGATGTTGTTCGGTCAACGGTGGTCGCAGATGATCAACTGTGGATGACGGTCAATGGTGATCGACGGTGGTCAATGGTTGTCGACGGTGGTCGACAGAGGTCTGCAGTGGTCACCAATGATCGGTGGTGGTCGACGAAGATAAACGATGACGAAAAAGGGTTATTAGATTTTCAGATTACAGCGTCGTCTGATGTTGTCCGGTCAACGATGGTCGCAGATGATCAACTGTGGATGACGGTCAATGGTGATCGACGGTGGTCAATGGTTGTCGACGGTGGTCGACAGAGGTCTGCAGTGGTCACCAATGATCGGTGGTGGTCGACGAAGATAAACCGACGATGACATGGATGATGTTGGACTTGAGCTCTTTCTCAAAACCTCAAGTTCTCTCTCCAGCCTTCTCCCCTCATGTGAATGTTGGAGCTCTATTATAGTGTTTTGGGTGCAATTAATGTGGGAATATGAACTATTTTGATCGGACGGTCCGGAGAGTTTCTCTAGATCAGATGATGTCTGATAGACATTTGAGTGCCTTAACGATGTTGGAATTGAGCAATTTTGGGCCCGTTGGATTCGTCTTGTCTAGATGCTCGATTTGATCATGAACTTGTTAGATTTTACATATGTTTGACCTTTCAAATGCCTCCAAACATCCTCTAATAATGATTTAATCACTTAATCTGGGCCTGATTTGACTCGTAGTTGACTAACTTTGATATCAGTCGGCCAGTTTGACTATAAGGTTTTTGAAATCGGAGCTCTCGATGACTTCTTATCAAAATTTGAATATTCTTTACTCAAAATATTACCTCGAGATTCGTGACGGATGATAAAAATTTGTTATTGGCGTATCAGTTGCCCACTATTTTCGGGCGAAACCATTTTTCTCGTCCAAAAATATTAAGATCCATAAACTTTTCATGAAGGGCAAAAAAAATTTAGATATATATATTTTATTGCTATCAGTATGTAAATATATGTAAATAAGAATAAAGTATGTAAATAAGAATAATATTTATCCTTAGTATAGTAGTAAGTTGAGTCAAGCTCAGTTGGTGAGTGTCTTTTGCCATTTGCAGGAGATAAGGGTACGAATCCCACCTTAAACAAAGAAAAAAAATTTTAGCAGGGTCTGTATGTCGGGCTGAACCCGACCCGAAAGCCTAAATCTGGACCGTCTGAGACCAGGCGGGCCAAACCCGAGACCCGAGATCCAGGAACCGGGCCGGCGGAACCTGAAGCGCGAGCTGGGAATCCGAAGGGATAAACTGAATTTAATTAATTAATTAATTAATTAGAATATGGAGAGCTGATAACCCTTAAGCGGGCCATGGGAAGTGGGAACAGCGAGCCGAAGTTAGGGAATTTGAAGAGGCTTAGCTGAAATTCAAATGGTTAATGGAAAAGCCGGAATTCAAATGGTTAAATAAGAATTTGAGCGGATTTTTAAAATTAAGAAGATAGAATTTGATTTTTTTTATAAAATGCTGCTGTTTTTTTTTTATTTTAACGATTTCAATTAATTTCAATCATAAAAATGCTGCTGTTTTTTTTTTATTTTAACGATTTCAATTAATTTCAATCATAAATGCAGAATTTGAAAGGCCAAAGTAAAGGAATATGAAATGAAAACATTTTTTTAATGTGCATTTAATGTTATATCTCATATCATGCCTATAACTACAAGCATTGGATGAAGGAAAAAATCACAAGTGAGGAGGAGAAGAAAATCATCTTGTGCTGCGGAGAATAGTTGCGGCGGAGCGAAGAGTTGCGGCGAAGAGTTACGGTGAGGCGGAGAGTTGCGGTGAAGCGAAGAGTTGCGGTGCAATTTTGCGGCGAAGTGTTGCAGAGCAAAGTTGTGGCGAAGAGTTGCGACGAAATGTTGCAGCAGTGCATCACGATGACAAGTTGGGCGAAGCGTCATTGTGGTGCGACACATTGGATGTCCAATGTTACGTAAAAAGGTTACCTTTGAGATAAATCGCCACTGACCTTTAACTTTGCTGAGGCTATACATCAGAATGTTACTCAATGATGTTAATATGTATAGGAGAAGCCAACGGAAGTCCACTAAGGACTTATTAACCCATCTGAGGTAGTTTGTCGGAGCATTGCTCACTTATGAACCTGTGTGAAAGGTGTCAGGTGTAGCCCACCAAGGACTATTAACCTATTCAGGGTTATTTATCGAAGCAAAAACTCGGTGATGTTAACCCCTTTGAAAGAGGTTAGATCAAATCTCTCTGGGATCGATTGTGCTCTGATTAAGATGCAACAAGAGTTGTGTATTTCTTGGGTCAAGAGCATGTTTGCTGAAATCGATTGACTAAGATACAATCATGCTCTGACTAAGATACAATCATAGTTCCACTAAGGACTTATTAACCCATCTGAGGTAGTTTGTCGGAGCATTGCTCACTTATGAAGCTGTGTGAAAGGTGTCAGGTGTAGCCCACCAAGGACTATTAACCTATTCAGTGTTGTTTATCAGAGTAAAACTCGACGATGTTAACCCATATGGAAGAGATTAGATCAAATTCCCCTAAGACTGATCATGCTCTGACTAAGATACAATCATAGTTGTGTATTTCTTGGGTCGAGAGCATGAGGTGACTCGTTGATGAACCATTACACTTTATAAAGATATTCTTTATGTATATGAAAGTAAATGAATAATATTTGAGATTCATTGATCATGTATGAACTATGATGTAATAACATATGTGGACTACATGTTTAGGGTGCTACTGATAGTACTTGTGAAGATTTTCTACATTCCAAGTCTAGGGCAGGATTTTCCCATCTGAATCATTGAGCTTGAAGGTTTTATGCTTGATCATGGTAGCCACAATATATGGGCATTCCCAGAGATGTGATAGTTTATTGCGTTGGGGACCATGACCGGTGCTTTCAATGCTACGTAAGACCAGGTCACCGATGGAGATAATTCGAAGCTTGACTCTCCGGTTGAAGTGGCGAGCAATTCTTTGGTGATAAGAAGCAGCTATGAGGTGGGTCACATTGCGTGTTTCTGGGAGGAGATACAAATGTTGTCAAAGTTTTTCCTTGTTTCTATCTGAGCCAAAAGTCTTAACTCACGGGTTTGGAACTCCGATATCAACTTGGATAACTGCCTCAGTGCCGAAACACAAGTTATATTGAGTTTCCCCGGTTGGAGTTCGCATAGTTGTGTGATAGGCCCAAAGGGCGTTGTGCAGCTCTTCTGCCCATTGCCCCCCAGCTTTCTCAAGTCGAGTTTTCAATTCTTTGAGTATCGTACGATTCATCGCCTCTGTTTGTCCATTACTTTGGGAATGCACCACAGCAGTGTGCACCAACTGAATGTGAAGATCCTTGCAGAATAATGTGAAAACCCTTCCAATGAATTGAGTCCCATAATCAGTGATAATCTTCGAAGGAAGCCCAAAGCGACAGATGATATTTTTCCAAACAAACTGTTTTGCATTTGCCTCGGTAATTTTGGCAAGAGGCTCTGCTTCTACCCATTTGGTGAAGTAATCAGCAACTAAGATAATGAATTTTCGTTATCCAGTAGCTATCGGAAATGACCCCATGATATCTACCCCCCATTGGGCGAAATGCCAATGACTTAAAAAATATGTGAGTTCCATTGGCGGTGCATGTGTAAGATTGGAGTGTAGTTGACAATTCTTGCATTTTTGCACAAAATCTAATGCATCTTCCTTGATCATGGCCCAGTAGAAGCCTTGCCTCATTATTTTAAGAGCAAGTGCACTGCCACCAAACTGCCACCAAGATGCTCCCCAAGATGCTCCCCACATATTCCAAAATGAACTTCTCGTAGAGCATAATCAGCTTTAGATGGAGGAAGACACTTGAGATACTTGAGATATGGACCTACAAATGCCTTCTTGTACAGTTCATCCCCTATAAGGGTGAAGTTGGCAGTCATGCGTCGGATGCGAATTGATGTAGTAGAATCATCTGGCAGTGTTCCGTCTCGGAGTAAGGAGATGATGAGATTCATCCAAGATGGCTCCCTTGGGTCATCTATAGAC